CTGGTTTGGCTTTTCACTGCAGGGTACTATTAGTGCATTCATTTCAGTGCATTTAAAATTTCTGAGGCATTGTTTACTTTTTACTATTTGAGAATTGCCAATTCAGCAAAACCAAAGTTGCGATTTGTGGAATGAGCCATCTTTGTTCGCTAGGAGGTAATGGTTGTCAACTGACACGGAATATTTTTAGATTTTGGCTAAGGGGAAATTTGTAACATCGGCGTTTAATATGGCCTTTGCCGTTTTTAATCGATTTTACGATTTATCAACCTTTGTACACATTATTTTTTAACCTTTTAAGCATTTATGACTAATATATTCGTTATGATTATTTGACTCCTGTACATATACCTTCATGTGTATACCTTTACTAGTGATGGGACTATCCGTATATGTGAATATCTGTATATTTGAATATCTGGATATCGGTTCCGATATTCTTGTGTGCGGATAATATCCGGATATACGGTTAATATCCGGATATACGGTTAATATCCTTAAATTCTCTTATACGCATATTCGTTCATTTTCATATCTGGATATACTAAACAGTATTTTATTACAGAAACTATAGAGTTGCAAAATAAATAATAGAAACTTTATGAATGAATGAAAAAATTGTTATTTAAAAGTAAAAAAAATTCGGTTAGAACTCCTACCTTAATTTATACTTATTTTCTTTTTTTTACTTTGTGGTCACACCTAATACGAAATGTGGAGGCAAGGTTTCAAAATGGGTGTACATAAATATATTTGTATGTATTATTAAAAGTGTCTGTACGAGTTTGAATTGAATATATCTACAGCCGTACAAAATAAAAAATTCAAAGTTGAGTTATTTCAAACAAATCCGCTTGTAGGTAATTTCCATGCAATGGTTTTATTTTATACACACCCGTGCTATGATGATGCCGCAGCCGGATTTTACATTATTATGAGAGTGTGTCCTTTCATACATACATACATATGGGCATTTGCATGTGCATTAGGGTGGTCTAAAAAAAAAAACCTTGTAAAAAAAAGTAAAGTCGGTATTTGAATGCGCTCACTCACTCTAGGATTGTTCTATACCGAAAAATATATCCCTGTTTTTCATATTTTGAAATCAAAAAAATATTAAGTGGTCGTTCAAAGCGCTCAAAGTCTTCCATGTGTTTTATATTGGAAAAAAATTAATTTTCGTAGGTATGGTATATAATTACGGAAAATCAATACTTTTCAAACAGAAAACTTTGTTTCTCTTCAGGAGACTACCATTTTTTGAGGTTAAAAGGTGTCCTATAAAAATTAGTTAACAACAGAAAATGGTTGAATAAACAACTGGATATTGTTGTTGGTATTCAAATGATGAGAAACAAAGTTTTCCGATCGAAAAATATTGATTTTGAAAAATTCTATACCATTTCTGTGAAAACTTGTTTTTTTCCCCATTTAAAATTCATGGAAAATTTTAAGCGCTTTGAGCGATCTCTACATATTTTTTTGGTAAAAAAAACCAGGGGTATAAATTTTTCAGTATAGAACAATCCTATGGCGTGAGAGCATTCAAATTCCGCTTTTGCTTTTTTCTGACCACCCTAATATATTTACACATACATGTATACATATATACGTATATGCATGCATAGGATTCCTACTGCGCTGCGGTCTCGTGCTTGGCTTCAGTTGAACCAAGGAAAAACACAAAACCTCTGAGGGCGGTTTAAAATTGAAATAAGGTTATGTTTGCCAAAAAAGCACAGACAAAGCCATATGTTTTGTTGATATGCGCATGCAATAGTTTTTAAAGGCAAATTCAAACTTTTACTTGAGTAGAAAAAAATTACTATTTTCTCTTACTTTGAACTCTCCCTCAGGTAGGTATGAGCATATAATACATACACACATATGTATAAGGACAGACAGATGGCAGCTTTGATTCGAACCAATTCCTTAATTACACGGAGATATTTTTTTTTTACTATTTCCTATTCCGCGATCAAGAAGACATTTATTCAAGTTTAAGTAGAAAACTTCAATCCGTGTATCTCAGGAATTGTTTAATTAGCTGATCCGGATTAAATCCTAGAGTTAATTCTCAAACTAAATTCGAATCAGGAGCAATTTTGGTGACAACGCTATTTAAAATGGCCATATGTTTTCTATTTCGAGCAGAGTTGCCAGGAAAGAAACTGTAAATTTCCGAAAAAAATTTATTTCGACCAAAAAAGTGCAACCTTTAAAAAATTAATAAACGAAAAAGAGGACTCATTTAAAATAAAACAACATAAACATTTAAGAGTATACTTAACTAAGCGCAAAATTCTTTATATAAAGGAACATGTAAATCACATTTTGTTTTAATGAAATTCAGTTTAATTTTTTTTCATAAATTGCGTTGCTAATTTTTTCGGGCATTTGATTCGTTACCTCAAATTTAGAACTTGCTTTATTCAAAAGATAATTTCACTTATTTGTTCCGAATGAAGAAACAGCACTCCTTCATCGCCCCTTTTAATTTAGAAATCGATTTATATAGAAACCGAAAGAAAAATTTGAATTTATTGTTTCAAATCGGAAGTTTCGAAAAAAACTATAATTTGACTATTTAGGATGTAATTTAAACCACTCAAAGCTTAAAACTGTGAATCTGGCAACATTGATTGCGAATGAAAAATAAACGAAGCCAAGAAGTAAGATAACAAAGCAAACAAAGCAAACAAAGTTTGACATCCACGTATGTACGGTGGCGACAGTGTCAATGGGGAAAAGACATTTTAGCAAGTTTTGTCTAGTTTTATTTTTATATAATGTTTGTTCGACGAATTTCAACAAATGTTGATAAAAATTTTGAACTTTTTAATCAGATTTTTTATAATTTTTTATTTATTTATTTATTTAAGAATAATCTAGAAAATGTACATTTTCTTACAGACTATACAGAGACTAATTCAGTTTAAGTTTATTTAACAATTTCATTTAATATGGATTTAAATCTAGGTTTTGACAAAGAGAAAATTGTTTTAATGCTCCATAAATAGGTGCGTTAGAAGCGTAAAGTAGATATGTATGTAGTTTTGTAGGCCATTAAATTTTAGCATAAAAAAGTGCAGGTAAGTTTGAACATTTGCCTTATATGATTTTTGTTAGATAACGAGCAACACTTTCATAAAAAAATTATAAAAATGCTGAAATGTCTCTTACCTATTTGTATTTTCGCCACTGTACATATTGATTCTCCCACGATTCCTTTATTGACTGTTCCAAAACTACTTAAGCTAGCTTTATGAGATTTTGGCATGTAACATATGGGCGATTTCCCTAGTGAGAATGGCTCAGCGTAGTCTGCACTAAAGTCTGTGTGTGCCAAATCTCTAGTTCGTTCTTCTGATACATACATACATACATAAGACGCCCCAACTAGTGGCTTACTGAGAAAATTTGTTGCCACTTTAGCTCTTGCATTGTTACTTCCTTGTGTGCTCCTGCAATTTCGGCAAGTGCGTGTGTAACCTTATATATGCGTATATGTAAATACCCTGCAGGGAAAGCTACTAGCTATGAACTAGAAAGCTACCAGTTTGCGTTTAAGTTTTTCAATCTCAGCGACTGATATTTTAACAAGGTGATGTCCTACGAGATGTCAGTTTTCAGGCTATGCATCATCTTCTACTAGCAAAATAGTAGTAACATCATACCAGTTGATGAGCTAGTCTGCCAATTCATCTTCCGTGAAAAGCATAAGTATGCCATTTTGCTCGCGGCGCTCCAACAGTCGCAATGGTCGACAGAGGAAAGCACTGGCATGGTATTCCTGAGGTCCCAGGTTCAAGTCCCTTTAATCTTATATATGTATATATGTATATACATGTTTTTAATTAAATTTAAAAATTACAATAAAAACCTAAATAAAAAAATAACAAGTAAATCAGTATAAGTTCGAGCGAAACCGAACTTTATATATCCGGCGCAGGTATCAAATATCGTTATTTAACTTTCTCTAAATTAGCTTTGTATGATAAGCTGGGGGGTTTTCTCCGATTTCAAACGTTTTCGATAATATGTTGGGTTAGACTTAATGTAATAATTGAACCAAGTTTGGTAGAAATCGATAAAGTGATTACCGAGGTACACCTTTGTAGTCACAAAGTGGGCGGTGCCACGCCCAATTCCTAAAAGTATGTATATACCAGTACTTTTTATTGTTAAGAGATTGTTGTAACTAATAACTTAGAATAAATTAGCGTCCTTAGTTATTAAAATATCGGAGTTTTCGCATTTCTGAAATTTACCGTTATATGGGAAACGGGTATAATCTCAGTGCGATTAGAATAATTTTCAACAAATTGCTCTTCCGTACGAAGGTTATTAAGTACACTGAGTTTGGTAGAAATTGATTAAACGGTTACCGAGTTACACATAAGGCGGCGGCGCCACGCCCATTGTCCAAAAATATACCCGAAAATCTTCTAAAAATTCAGATTATAAAATTTGAAATTTTAATGAAAATTCGTCAAATTTTCTAAACATTGCATAAAGTTTGAAACTTTTATTTGTGTGGTTTTTCTTAAAACTTGGACAATGTTTCTATAGATGTTTGAGTCACTGTTTATATGTACACATAAATATATTAAGCGAAGGCATTTTTGTGAAAGTCAGATCTGCGCCGTTCTTTCAAATTTCAAAAATGAGATGTCAAATTAAAATTGAAAAGTGCGGTGCAGAGTGATTTGAAATTTGATGAAATGAAAAACCGGCAGCCTGCCTAGACCTCACATCGCCCGAAAATGGCTAAACGGATTAAAGTTAAATACAATTTTGTCATTTTAAGGCCCTTGTAGATCTTAAAGTCGCGGTGCTTTATCCCCACAATAAAAGTGAAATGTTAATGTTTATTAAATCTTTTCACACATACTTACACGCTCTCAATGATTGGAGCATCGTCCGTCCTTAATTTAAATAAATCACACAAAGTATTTCCATTTAATTTAATTAATTATAATTAATTTATTGAGTACCACTTTTTGATACATCTTATGCGATGCATGCGTGTATCCATGGGTTTTATTTATTGTTGTTTTTTTTTTTCAAAATACATTTAATTTGCTTTCTGGTTTTCATCGGTTTTGTTTTGTTTCGTTGGTTTGTTTTTTCTATTGATTTCTGCAAAAGTTACATTCATAAAACGTTGAATTGAAATGCAATACAAGCATACTTAATAAATGCGTATGTATACGAATGTATGAATGCATGTATGTGTATTGGCTACTGCTAAATTCTATTATCTTTCTAATCAGTATACCAAATTGGGATCAAAAATATTTTTCTTAAAACAAATTAACACAAAGCCAAGCAGAGTGGTAAACAATTTTCTTATAATTTAGATTTTTATCTCCTGGCTAACAATTGTACAATAAGTCAATTCGTAAAGCAAATCAGTACATGCAATTAACATATGTATGTGTTTAAATTAAATTTATTTAAACTAAAAGTATTTAGTAAAAAAAAATCAAAACATTTATTTAATGCGTCGTATTTTAGTTTTCAATTAACTCTAAGAGCTTAAAACACTAATCAATTAATTTAGTTACATTGAGTATAACTATGCATGTATGTATGTATGTATGTATATTGTTTTGTATAGACTACGAGCTCATTAAAATTGCATGTCACGGCATGACGCAGGTTCTCACCAACCAGGTTGCACCACACTCAAATTGCTGCACCGCACCAGATCTGTGTGTGCCCTCATTGCATTTAAAAACTCCTCAATTTCATTTTTTTTTTTCATTTTGCTCTTTTTCTCAAATTCTCGCCTCCTTAATTATTTATTAATTTCATTTAGTATTATTTCAGTACTCAATATCTATTTAGTTTTTCTTTTCGCTGAAAGTCTTTTAAAAATTTAAATAATTACTTTAACGTAAATAAATTGCCATCCATAGGACTATCACATTGGAATCCGACGCACCAGTAGATACTCGGAGAACTGTTGCCCCTCGACGCCGCCACCAGTGCTCGCTTCGATGGTGAAGCCGGCATTCAGCAGGCGTGTCAGCACCTGCACCGAATTCAGCTTGCAGTAGCCATTTAATGGAAAGCGTATAATTTGTCGCCAATCACCCTGATTCCATGACACTCCACTGCGGCTGGTCTGTGTGGCCTGATTGGCCTCGGGAAAGACTTCGTCGAGTAGTGAACGTTCGGCAGAGAGCATAATGCGTTCACCCAAATCGGGTGATATATGCAATGCGACTACTTCGTAGTTATATTCCGGCGAAGAATTCGTACGCGGACTACTTTTAATACGCGCTGGTGGTGTTGGTGGTGCCACCAGATAATTACCGTTACGCACACGATCCTTGCGCATGCTCTCTAGCTGTTTGATCATGGCTATGGAGGAAGGAAAGAAAAGTTGGAAATTGATTATTTGGTGATAATTGCAGAAAAATAATAACAAAATTCAGAAATTTTAAATTGAATCGGGGTTTGGGTGTTAAACTACGTGTCAGTGAGTGGCGGACGCACGAGGTGTGTTTTAATATGGCGCATACCGCTCGACCCGCCCCTGGTCTACGTATTAGGTATTAAGTCAAGAGCTAAGTCCTTTCATTCAGTCAAAAAGGACGCAAGAATGGCAATAGTGAAACAAAAAGCTTCCTAACTCCCCCCGGGTTATGTATTAGTGGCGGTGCCCCTTTTCCGCGAGCGAAGCTATTTCAGGCTTTCATACTTTTGGTATAGATACTTGTAGAGTAAAAGCTCTCTCTATCCAACGTTGCTATAGAGCAGTGATTTCCAAAGTGGTCCAGGTGGACCCCAGGGGTCAACGGGAAACTCGATGGGGGTCTAGTTTGGCGTGTGGGGGTTCTCAAAAATGTCTCGGGTTTCGACAGTATGTTGGCTTGGCTTTACCTATCAAAGTACACTACTCAAAAAAAAAAGAGAAAGGGAACAAAAAAATCCATATTTCTACACTTTTCAGTGATGTTTCATTTTACGGGTTTAGGTAAAAAATAGTCGTATTGAGACTTTAAAAAAGCTTTTGCAGCTGTTAGATTCTAATTTTCATATTTCTTGGCTAAAAATTATTAGGATAGCGCAAAAAAAAATATTTTGCAAATTTTTGAATTTTTTTTTTTTTTGACCACGGACTTATTAACACTTAATTTCCTTCTTTTGTAACCTACCTTAATTTTTTTGAGAAGTATAGTTTAAGACAGAGTTCGCCAAAGTTTTCACTGAGAAATAAGATTTCTATCTTCCTCCTCACTACAACTTAATTCAAGAGCAATAAATTTTCACCTCCTAGCTGACACAAAAAGAGTATTCTCTGGGACAAGGGTCGCTCTTGCCAGATACAATTTTGAGGTACTAAAGGACTTCGTTCACCAGGATACAGCATTGCGAGCAAACAATTTTTTTCCAACAGGCGGGCTCGTTAGATAATTGAAAACAAGAGGTCTACTAATTACTAATTACTAATTCCTTTTCATGCCCATGTAGCTCATTATTTTGCTGAAACAAAGAAGAGAAGGCTTTCGAGAGAACTACTCTAAGCATGTTCGCGTGCGCGACGAGTGCCAAAGTAGGGGGAATGAAGAACTTTAATAGTTTCATAAATACATGGATATAGCTAAAGGCATACAAATACAACGACAGTGCTGACTTGAACATCACGGTCGTACAGTTGATGACTTTCCGGTGGAAATATTCTCTAGTTTATCTCCAGTGAGCGAACAATGAAAGCTAGGATGACCACGAGCACAATGAAAGTACCGAGTGCAGAAAGACGCAAATTTTTGATATTGATCTAAACAGACAAACATTTCAAGAATTAAGTAGCTAAGAAGAAAATTTGTGTATACAAACTACACTTTACCAAAGAGGTAACATTTTTCAAGGCTCAGTAGAGATTAATTTTAAAGAGACCTTTTACGTTGATGGCATGAAGTTTTTACCTGAGAAGACCCTTAGTAAAATTTTCCGAAGAATAATTTTCTAGAATATATCAATCCTCTAACGACCTTCCAAGTTTACTTTTTTTCGGGGTTTCTTGAAGTAAGGGTCAAAACGACCCTTTCAGGTGGGAGCTAATGGGTTAAAATGTTCTACGAAAATATTTTCCGTGAAATTTGACTACACATATCTTTACCTTTAATTTCGCTCAGACATTTATTCAAACCATTTTTTCCTCTTTTTTGAAAACTACTTAGGCTGCGACATGAAAAATTTAGTAGGCTAAATTCGACCAGCCAAATCATTTACATGAGTCAACAAAAGTCGCAAATAAATTTTTTCTTCTAATATGGGCCGCAGAAAAATTATTTTTAAAGCGTGAATAGAAACGATTCGAAAAAGATTAATGAAATGCTTTCCGAACAACAAAATATAACAAATTTTCAAAATGTCACAAATCGACATACATAAATACATACATATTTCAGGGTTGCTTCGGTTCTCCGTCGACTGGCAAAAGTTGAACGCAAGTCTACTTTGGCTCAGTCGATTTTTGTCGGCTGCGGCCGGTTGAATTGCCATTTACACGGGTCGATTTTGGTCGAACGACAAAAAACTACCAAAAAATCGACTCGCGTAAAGTCAGCTTAAGAGTTAAAAATTGCTCAGTCTAGTTTTTTTAAATTTTACAGGAGAACTTATAAAATTCTAGTAACATAAGTGCAAGTTTTGAGCTGCTAAAAAATTGTATTGATTCTTAATATATATATTTTTTTTTGATGAGGGATTTTGTGTTTTTTTTTTATAAATAGAAAAATTTAGGAAAACTGTCGTTAACTTTTTTTTATTTTTTGAAAACGGTCTTGCCCATGTTCTTTCATGAGGAATTGGTGTTTATATGGAGAAAAGTCCAAAACGATGTCAACAAAAAAAAAAAAAAAAAAAATTATTAAAAATCAATGCGATTTTTTAGCCGCTCAAAACTTGCAATCGTTTTACTAGAATTTTATAAGCTTGTTAACTGCATACCAAAAAAATTTCTAAAAGTTCTGGTTAAAAATCTCGAAATTTAGATAAAAATTTGTGGCATTTTTCTAAGTTCTGTTTAAAGATTGAATGTGTGATTTATATAGTTTATAATAAAATATCAGAAAAATTTTAGCTTGAAAAACATTGTAATTAGAAACGAAACACCATTCAACCATTTTTGACCCCCACTGTATACATACATACATACATATCGAGTTCTAACCGCAAAAAAAATTTAAGCGAAATTTTTTTCCAAATTTTATTTTTGCTCCAAAAATGCTTCTAGATGATCTAGCAATATTTCTGGATCAAAAGTAAAATTTTGAAAAAAAATAATCCACACGGCTTTTTGGCAGTAAAGTCTCTATATATTCATAAAAATCACAATAAATACTTACGCTCCACTTCAAAGTAGCGCGCCTCTTCAAGTAACAGCTCGAGATCCGGGAAATCCTCTGCAATTAAAAGTCTTGAGTTTCTCATGAAGTTCAATACGTGTCGAAACATGCCGCCATCGCGATCAATAAAATAATGTTGCTTCAACGAGTCCAACACAATCGGTATGGTGCCATTGAAGAGTTTCGCCAACTTTGAGTCTGGATATTTGGTGAGCGTTTCCAATGAGCTGGTGTAAATCGTGCCACCCACATCGATATGTACGGGCGCAGTATACCGCGAAGCAGCCGCCACACATGGAATTCCAGTGATGGGCTTATGATTTGCATGCAAATAGGAACTAGCACCAGCGGCGGAGGTGCTGCCCGGTGCGCTGGAAGCGCCACCACCAACGATCGGTGGTACCGATGAACTAGCTGGCGGTGTGGGAGTGGGCGACGAAGAATTAGAGATCGTGGGCGAGACAGTGGGTGAAGCGCTGAAAGCGTAGAAAGTGATGCGATTGAGAATTTTAACAAATAAATAAAAATTAACAAAGAAATGCACTTGCTAACCTTATTTTAATATCGCCTCTGCCAAAGATGCGTCCCGTCGATGATAGATCGCGCGGTTCGAGCGATTTTGTATCTCTTTCGCGTTCGCGGTCCATATCGCATTTTTTTCTGTAAAGAAAGAAAGAGAAAAAATTATAAACTCACTTAGTTTTAAAATCAATACGGTTTTAGTCAAATAATGAATAGTTTAACCGGAATGATCCCCCTAAACCTTTAATTTTAATTTCTTTTATTATTTTCATTATTTTATTATTTTTATCGAAGACGTGCGCATGCAAATCAACTACCATAGGCCGTTGGCAAGTTTGGCAAAAACTTTTGCCTGAAAACTTGAAAAACAGATTGCCGCATGCGAGTTGGCAATTTCGATTTCTTTGAAACCGCGCTGCAGCCGCACCACTGCTTCGATGTATACTTCAATTCGCATACGATTCCGCCGTCTATGCATTGCCACACTTTGTGCCGGCGGTGTTTGCGCGTAGGCGCTGCGTCATGATGCTAAACAAAACTTCGTAGCGGTTGCGACAGAAGCAGCGTGCAATAACATAGAATGACTTATATATAAACGACTATGTATATACACATGTTTTTAGCTGCGTCAGAGTTCCATTTTTTTGGCCCTCTGGCAACATATTGCTGCTGCTCACGAGGTCTTCGTGCATTGCTTTGGGCGCCAAAGGTTTTGGTGTGGGTCGCCATGTGCACTTTTGATTTATTTTACTATGTAAGGGCATTGACGTCTTATTTTACATTTTGCGTTTACCAGTATTAGAATGCCTCACTTTCCATTCAGAAAAAAATATTTGTTCAAAAGTTACAATTATTTTGTAAAATGCAACCCTGCATCGCGTGGAACATTTTTCAAGAATTTTCAAAAACTCTTACGTGTTTGATGCAATTTTACAATACAAGACTTTTGAGAATGTGAATAACTCAGAATTTCTTTTTGACGGTCTCGATTTCAACGTTATCTTTTTACGCGGTCGCCGAACGGCTTCGGTTCAGTAGGCCACCAAAAGCGTTCCAGATCCCAGTGGTTCGCGTACTAAAAAGGAAGTGCCGACCAGCAGTCAAGGCGAAACGCGATCAAAGAGCTGCTTCTAGGCTGACTGCTTAAACAATTTAGCAGCGTCTCGGTTTCCGATAATCTGGAGAAGGTGGTTGAAAGATCCAGGGGCATGATCTGGGAAAACCGTGAGCTGCCTCAGGAGAGGAATATCGGCAAAAAAACCAGCACCTACTTCTTGGGGTTCCATGGACCACCAAAAGGCAGGTTTCGGCAGATTACGCACCAAAGAGGCCCAAAACCTCAAACGCAATTAGTCCTCCTGTAATGGACGGCCGGAGATTGGAGGTCTGTGCTGCTGTGTATATGCCAGGTGTATAAGGATAATCTACAGAACAATCTTGGCCCTTCGCGACGCAGGCCTCTTTCTACTACTTTTTTTCCTCGCCGATGACAAGTCGGTGCGACTATGTAAGGAAGCCATTTCCTCTCTTGTGTAGCTGTGACCCGACGCCGATTTAATGGCAATGCATAGGGATAAAATCCCTTGGAAGCTGCGAGCCAGCGCGTGAGTCCTAGGGGAACGCTTGAGTACTCAGGGGATCGTTATAAATAAAAGTCTTCAATAACTGTTATCTAAGACAAATAAATAAAAATCAAAAATAATTGTTATTTTTTTTTAATTTTGCATCAAAAATGCAAATAAAAATTTATTTTCGAATTTGAGTCTCGGTAAAAAAAAATCGATGGGTATGTATCACTTAGTTGCAGAACATTTCCGTCATAGTGAATTTTTCCATGACAGTTTTCATCAATGACTGTTATGATCGGTCCCTGATTTTAACTCAAATTTGCCCACTCTCACAATATAAAGGCTACTCGCAGATGCGCTCAAAACTATAAATTGCAGAATAAATTTTTTTTCTTGTTTGCCCTAAAGTTTTCTTCTATATGAAACTATAAACCTTACTTTGAATAGCAGTATTTTCACATTACCCATAAGTGAATTTTGTCCCATCCAGCCAAATCAAAACACAACAAAAAATGTTTACAACACAAATAAACTGTAGAGCAACCCACAAAATTTAGTTACGCAAATCAGGCGAAAAACTTTACCAAAATCAAAAGAAAACTATAGCAAGTGCCCTAAGGTGAATGCATGAGTTTGTATGTGTATGTGGGAAAGTTGGCGGTTGAAGAAACATACATACATACATACATGCGTATATATCTACTCACTTTAAGTATGCAAAATATAGGTAAGTTGTAACCGAGGTTTGTATTAGAGGGCTGAGCAAATGGTTTTACTTTTGCTGTACACTATTGCACACTTCAGTAAATGCAGTAATGAAGCAAACTCACTTGGCAATAAATGATGTGAAACTCATGGCTTGCTTGCAACCAAAACAAATACTGCAGTGTCGCTGCTGGCTATCCTCACTGCAATGACAGTATTTATTTACAGAAAAATAACGGGGGAGGTACAGCGAGTGCAGTAAAACAATTGGGTGCGCAGTAAACGGTAGCAGTTTACATGTTCAATGTTAGTCACTTTGTGTTAGTATCGTGATGCATGTATCCAAATTTTATTTTAATAAAAAACATACGTGTATACGTTTTTCATCTTGTAAATAAGCTTTTCTCTTCTATCAAAGAATCCAAAGTTAAGGTTAATTGAGGTAAATTGTTGCTAAGTTTAGGTAACATAGACACACACTGCATTTGTGCATACTTAGGATTTTACTGCACTCGCTGCATTACTATACACTAGTTGCAGTCGATAGTAAATGCAATGTGCTTGAAGTTTTATTACAGCAATATTTTGTTGAAGCAAAATTTTTATTCACTATTTGCAGTAGTCCCCCATTGACAGTATTTGAAAGCTCTGAGGAAGTGAAGTATTGCGAAATTAGCAAACGTTTTGATTGCCCTTTCAAAACCATTTATGCAGCCCTCTAGTGTTTACGTCGATGTTGCTCTGCAATAACGACACAACTAAAATTAAAAAAAAAAAAATACGAAATTCTTTCTACTGTTTAGTTTTTCATGTTTCTAGTCTACGTATAATTCATTAAATAATGGAATTTTATGTCACAGTATCAGACGGAAGGGGTTTAAAAAGATTTTAGTCTGAAAATTCTTTTAAAGAGGGTTCCACTAGAGGTGTCAAACTATCGATAGCACTATCGATAGCGCTAAATCAGTTAGGTTGCTTTGTTTTACAGGATCATAGTGAAATAAATATTATTTTATAAAAGTTATAATCATTCAAAATTAAGTAAATGCTTAGCCAAAATACTTCTCTTTTTAGAAAGTTCAAAAGCAAACACAAGTTATACAAACAAAACAGGATTTACGATTAACATATGTATGTATTTTGGCCTAAATGCGTGCATATTTGAATATGACGTCGGCATCACACTAAAAAACAAAATTTTTAATTAAAATTAAAAATTTTAAATAATTCCAAAATAATTGGTAGATATGATCGATAGTCCTACTAAACTATCGATATTTTCGATAGTATAAGAAAAAACTATCAATGAGTATTGATAGTCTAAAAAAATTGAAACTATCGATACTATCGATAGTGCCATCGATAGTTTGACAACTCTAGGTTCCACCTGTTTGAAAAGTCCAACTTATTTAATCGATACACAAGTTTAAATATTAAAATATGAGTGTAAAACGAAAGAGTTTTAAGAAAACTTTAGTTTGTAAATATATTTTTATTGAAGTGAAACTTCTTTAGCGGCGGTTGGTTGGTTGGGAGTAAATTGGCAAATTCAAAGGAAATTGCACACGAAAATTGGGTGACAGGTAATAAGATCAACGGAAATAAGGTCAATTGATTTTATTTCCCACGCTGGTGCAAAAATTAAGAGGTAAATTTAAACACTTTACTTATATATAGGCAAAGGTGGAGGGGAATATGTAGATGAAGAAAATGATAAACATAAAAGTAAAAACAAAGAAAAATATAAAGAAAAAGATGGGGATGAGGATACAGATAAAAGTAAAGATGTAGATAGAAGAAAAAGGTTTAAAATTAAGGCAATTATAGAGACAAGGATATAGATAGAGGCACTGAGACTCAATCGGGGTTCTCGGGACTTATCGATATAATAATCGATATTTTTATCGGTTTTTTTATCGATATTGTTATCGATTTGGTTATCGATTATTTACCGATTATTAATCGATTTTGATATCGATATTTTTTACCGATTTGTAAATAGATTTTTGGTATCGATTATTAACCGATTTCGTTATCGATATTAATATCGATTTTGTTATCGATTTTCTAAACGATCTTGCTACCAATATTATTATCGATTTTTCTATCGAATTTGCCATCGATTTTGTAATCGATATTTTTTTGATTTTGACACCGGTTATTTATCGATTGATTAGCGATTTTGTTATTGATTATTTGTCGATTTTGCTATCGATTATTTACAGATCCTTTATCGATTTTGTTATCGATATTTTTATCGACTTTGTTATCAATATTTTTATCTAGTTTCAAATCGATGTTTGTTTTCGATTTTGTTGTCGATATATTTACCGATTAAGTTATTGATATTTTTTCGATTTTTTATCGATATTTTTATCAATATTTTTATCGATTTTCTAATCGATTTTGCTACCAATGTTATTATCAATTTTGCTATCGAAATTTTTTATCAATATTTGTATAGGTTTTGTTATCGATATTTTTTGGATATTACTATCGAATACAATATAACATAAATGTAATTAGAACGAACAGCGGTAGAGGTAGGGATCTAGATAGAAAAAAGGCGAAAAATATCACCTAAAGTAAAAGCAGATATATGTATTATATATTTACATAAGTACGTGTGTATGTATATTGGTTATGAGACAAAATAGCTATGTAACGTAAGTTTCACTTCTCCAGTGTGACCCAGGCGCACTAGCTTTTAAGGGCTATCACTTATTCGAAAACTACTATCTTTATTATCTACATATCGTTAGTATAGTAAGGAGTGGCCGTATCTTACATCGTCTCTGAAATGCAAAACATCCACAACTAACTAAAATGTTTTGTTGCACAAAGCGATGAGGGGTCTTATAATTC